TCTGTGACTACTTATTCAACGTCAGAGCTGCAGTTCTGTTTACAAATCAAAAGCAATTTAATTCTTTGTAAATAAATAATAATAATAATTATACTGATATGACAACATTTTCTGCATTATAAGAAACATTAATAATGGTGATAGTTCTTTGCTGCTGAATGATTTTTATGATGCTCGCTATAAAAATAGGTAATTTACAACAGATGCGTGTGCCTGTCGTTATCGTAATGATGCTGTTCTGCACGAAAGCGACTGCTTGTCATGCATTCGGGTTCATTTATTCATTTTGTTCCGAAAGATGGTTGTGATAGAGCGACGCTAGCACAGAGGGAGCGACTCCCACTGTGAGAGAGATTTGCACCACTCCTCTCCCCCGAAATATCAGCCCTTACTCTTTTCAGCTTAATTTATTATTATTTAAAGGACGGAACGAAAAAGTTTGTGCGAAAATCGTGAGAGCAGCTATATGGTGTCACGCTCAGCTCCGAACGATCCTTGTGTGTGCCACACCCCCTCATTACCTCATGTTGACTCCTGATTGTTCCCACCTGTTTCTAGTTAATCCTAGCCTGTCTTGTGTACTTAGTCCGCATCCGAGTTCAGTCCCATCAGATCTGTCATTGACGTTAGTAGTGTGGTGTTGCCCTGTCTGTGATTGTCCACCCTGTTTACCCCTTTTAAACCCCGTTTGCCCGTCTGACCGGCTCCTCTCGCCTTCCTGCTTGTCCGCCTACCACGCTCCATGACATAATGACAAATCTCTTGGAAGACGCATCGCAGCAGGTGGAGGACCTCTGGCTCGCCCTGCTGCAAGAGACTGCGTACTGGCGAGAGCTACCGGAGATCCGCGGGGATCCCGGTTTATGCACCCTCGTCGAAAGGAGCTGGGATCTCCTACAGGAGATCACACCAACCAATGAAGCGCACGTAATTGCAGAAGTGCGCTCCCTCCTGAGACAGCTCATCGACCAGGTAAGGGAGAAACAACTCCAGCCTCCCACCTGGTCAGAAGCAACCCCGCCTCTACCTTCCGGTCCAGGTCGGCGAAAGAAAAAGAAACGACGGGGAAGAAGTGAAGAGGCCGACCCGACGATCGTCGTGGGGTGGTGTCTTCTCTCACTGGCTTCAATCCTAGCGGGTGAGCAGGGGGAATCCTAGCGGGTGAGCGGGGGGAATCCCTGCTCTCGGACGGCGTCCCGGCTGCGACGCTCCCGCGAGCACACAAAGCCCCCGGCGCCATCACCGAGGAGCCGCCGCTGGCGGCGTATACTTACTGGCCGGCAAGCCTGGCTAACAGGGAAGCCAGGGCGGCTTGGGACGCAATCCCTCGGGTCCCGCGGACCCTTAAAGGGACCAAGCCGCGTAGAGAAGCGCCGGACCTGGACGCACTAGCGGAAGCGCCCGATCTTCCGCCAGCTGCTGCGGTTTCGCTTGAGGCGCCTGCTCCGGACCCGCCTCTGCCCGCTGCTGCAGCTCTGCCTGAGGCCGATCTGCCCGCGGCCCTGCCTGCTAACGCCACAGCTGCACTGCCGGCGGCACCATCGACTCCTGCTGGCCACATGTCGGCGGCGCCCGCTGAGGCGCCCCCTGCTGGCCACGTGTCGGCGGCGCCCGCTGAGACACCCGAGGTGCCCGCTGAGGCGCCCCCTGCTGGCCACGTGTCGGCGGTGCCCGCTGAAACACCCAAGGTGCCCACTGAGGCGCCCCCTGTTGGCGGCGTCCGCTGAGGCGCCCCCTGCTGGCCGCACGCCCGAGGTGCCCGCTGAGGCACCCCCTTCTGACTGTTCTCCAGTCCTGCCCTGCTCTCCAGTCCTGCCCTGCTCTTCAGTCCAGTCCTGCTCTTCAGCCCAGCCCTGTTCGTCTGTCATGCTGGTTTGTCTGTGACTCCAGTTCCCCCAGCCCAGGACCCAGTCCTCGAGGGGGTCCTGGACAATCGGGACCTAGCTCCTTTCCCCAGTGAGGAGGAGGAGCTGGAATGGGACCCCTTGGGGACCTCCCTATGGACTCCCGCTCCCTTGCCCTGCCGGGAACAACACCCTGTAGGACCCCGCTTGTCAGTGTCCCATAAGGGACGGGGCCACAGGCGTCGGGCCCGGTTCCCGCCCGCCCTGCCCCCTAGGTCGCCCTCACGTGCCTTGGCTGGGGCTCCGGGGTCGCCTGCTGTCGGTCGCCTTCGGACCCACCTGCTTCGGCGAGGCGTCAGACGGTGCCTTCGCCGGCTCCGGCTGTGCCGTCACCTGCCGCGGCTTCCCCCTCCTGCCTGTCTTCGCCAGTGTTCCCTCCTGCTCCTTCCGTGTCCCCTCCGTCTCTCCCTCGTCCCGTTCCCTTGGCCCCTGTGTGGTTCCCTTCTGCTCCCTTCTCCCTCTTGCCTGCAGCCCCTCCGGCCACCGCCCATCGCCCACCTGGGCTCCCTCGGGCTCCCTTTTGTCTCCCATCCGTTCCTGTCTGGTCTCCCCTGTCTGCTCCTCCTCCCTTCGTCCCGCCTGTATCTGCTCCTCGTTCCTCTGTTCCGCCTCCGTTCACTCCTGGCCCCTTCGTGTCGCCTGTGGGTGTTCCCTCGGTGTCTCCTTTCTCCGTCTGCCTGTCTGCGTTTCCTGTCCTGTGTCAGGTTTTGTCATGGCTTTTGCCCCTGTGCCTGTTTTGTGTCTCTGTCTTGTTCCCGGTTCCCCGTTGATGTTCTGCTTTTGTTTTTCAGCTCCTGCCCCTCGTCTCGTGTTTGTCCTTGTGTGTGCCACGCCCCCTCATTACCTCATGTTGACTCCTGATTGTTCCCACCTGTTTGTAGTTAATCCCAGCCTGTCTTGTGTACTTAGTCCACGTCCGAGTTCAGTCCTGTCAGATCTGTCATTGACGTTAGTAGTGTGGTGTTGCCCTGTCTGTGATTGTCCACCCTGTTTACCCCTATTAAACCCCGTTTGCCCGTCTGACCGGCTCCTCTCGCCTTCCTGCTCGTCTGCCTACCATGCTCCATGACATATGGGATGCCCATGGTTATTTAGCCTTCGTATGGACTGAAAATTAAAGATCATCAGCCCCTTGCCAGCTTAGCCTTAACAGAGCGGAGGCAGAGGACATATTGATATGAAAAAATAATTTGCTCCGATTCACCCTTTTACAGCATTTTACGCAGCTGTCAGCTCGGTGGGCCGTCTCTGCGGTGCACCAAAAAGCTCTATTAAAATGGATAATGGAGACCCCTCCGTACCGCCTGAATGTTAATGCCCGTGGCACATCATTACAGCCTGGATAACTGTTTCATTTTAAAACGTTATCATCTTACATTGCACCTTATATTGCGGTTTCCCAAACAAAGAGCAGATTTGCTGGCCCGCAACGTCAGTAAAGTCTTAATACCCACAGTAGTTCCGGCAGTGTTGAGATAACTCTGCTCTGTCCCCAGGGTCTGTTGTAGCCTATTTTAATGTCCTCTTTGATAAAAAAAAAACACATTTTACAATGTCGTTTTTGTATAAAATACATTTTTTGCATCATTATAAAATTCCTCTATGTAGTTATATTTACATGTATGTACTTCATTATTGCCTAGAATGTGCCAAATATTACACAATAGGCACATGTGTTTACGTAAAAGACAATATTGACACAACTATGTCATCAGCTGACTAAAGCAGATTTCACCAGGTCACTTTGGTAAGGATGTTACTGTCAAAAGGAGTTTTGTGCTGGTGTGTGAGGAAGTCTGGTATTCAAGTTTAGGATTAGATGAAGAATGCATCTTTTTCTTCCCCCCAAATGAGACATCAAAAAGATTCAAAGTGCCTCATGTGATCACCGTACCCAGTTTAAAGCATGTGACAGGATAAACAGAAAAGGACGAGTATTACAATATCATACATATTAAATTTATTTAAATGATCCTTTATTAGAAGGATCAATGAATCGGTTCTGTTTTGTTTACACATGTTGTTACTTCTACTGCCTCTGGAAGGATATGAATCATCCACAAGTCAGTGGCAAGGACAAAAATTTTATCCACCAGATCCAGAAGAAATTATTATGAATGAGATCATTACCTAACATACTACGACTATGGCATCCTATTTTAAATCCTACGAAAATATACTCATTTCTTCTGAGAATTTCTTTCTCGTGTGTAAGGAACTGATTTATGTCTTTACATTTGAATATCTTTGTAAAAATAAATCACAGAAAATTGGGCTATTTTCTTTTGTGGGTTGTGGTGATTTGTGATGATAATTTATGTGATCTGCTGAAAATGTGCCTACCGCGTCCATGTTTGAGTAATAACTGAACTGTGCAGCAACAGAAGTGACATTGCAAAATTAAATATTTTCATTTATTACTTTGCCATGAATTCTCCTTTGATATAAATTTCTTCACAGCCGTATGCTTTCTTGAATAAGAGCACCAGTTAATTTCCACATATTGTCTGTTAAAAGACAGCACCGTTTCCCCTTGTTTTATGACTCTTGTTGTTTTATGAGAATATTATTTTTAATATATCAAAGGGGAGATTTACTTGAAAGGATAAGAGGACAGCTTCTTCTACAAGGTGCAGGGAGAGATTAAGGGCGAGACAGACTCAGTGATGTGTGCAACCTTGCAGAGAAATGAGCGACGACGCCGCAGTACGGTGGCTTCACAGCGCCACACAATGGTCTGTAGTGGGATTGCACTGATAGCGATCACGATTTGCATCCCCCCTCCATCCCCCCCGCTCCGTCAACCCAGTCACCCCCCATCACCAGACCTACAGACTTTCCAAATAGTGATGTTGGAAAACGCAGTGAAGGTCATGTGCTGTCAGAAATTCGCTTTGTTTCCGTGAATGTGCGCGAATGCTTGTCATCGTCTCCGACGAACATTTGTGTGAGTGTGTGTATGTTTGTGTGTCTATGTATATTTAGAAAGTAGACAATAACCGTGTACGCGTCTGAATTTGTCTGCGTATGTTTGTCATTATAAAGGACATACATATGGTTGTGTGTATGCATCTTTGCATGTATTCAGAAGGATAAACGTGCACGAATGCACTTCGGTCTGCGCATGTGTATGATTATAAAGGTGTGTGTTTCTGTGATACAGAATTATATGCACGTGTCTGAATGAGATTATCCTAAAAGCGAACTGCATGAATGACACACACGATCCGTGCCTGTGTGTACATCTGCCAGATTCAGGAGCTAGTGTGTATTTGCTTCGGTTGGAATCTCTTTTAATAAATGTTATATATGAACACCTTGGATGCGCGTCTGCGCGCGTGCGTGTGTTTATACGCATGTCAGAACCCAGGGGTTAGGGGTGGTGACTCATGGAGCCAGCCATCATGTGTGTTCGTGTCTGTATGCCGCCAGTGCTTCTTTCGCGGGCCCAATGCCAGTGCGTAAGTGGTGTGGCTTGCCGGTGCCGAGTTACCTGAATCATTAAAGCGGCCGACGAGAGAGAGACTCGCGCTCCCGCTGCATGGCACGCTGCCAAAGGTCCTGTATCTAATTAACACCGCAATCACTAATTCCCGCACCAACAGGACGGGGTCTGTTCGGACTTCATCACACGTCACCGTGTATAATTACTGTATGTATGGCTGCCCACCTATCTGGCACTTTGAGCATTAGAGAACGGGTGGGGGCAATTCATAAAACAGGCTCATTATTTTAATGCATACTACCTCTGAATATGTCCCTGAGTGGACGAAGAAATACACAACTAACTTGAGGCGATGAAAACCTGCGAGATGGCACAACACGCTACATCTGGTTAAACCGCAATGAAACGTGAGTTACGGGCTGGGTCAAATAAAAACATTTATATCCAGCTACAAAATATAGAAATTATTGTCCATCGTTATTCGTTAAGTATCAGAATGAGGCAGACAGGTAAATAATTAATCTAGGAATTTGTAAATCGATGTATCTAACAGTAAGTTTGCCATTTTTCTTTTTAGTGGTTCCCAATCCTTCTCAGTTAAGGGCATTACAAGGAAGAAAACATGGTGAGATCCTGATAACAGCGCTCTAAATTAAATAACAGCAGTTTTCTAAATGTTCCCGCCTGTTACCACAATCAGATCAAACCCAAACGGATATCTGTCTTTCTGATGACAGAACATTTTTCCTTTCCTTTACCCCCTTCATCTGGAATAATGCTGTTTTTTTTATTAGACCTACTTTATTTTCTCAATCCTCAAAAAAAAAAACGCCCTCAATGGAAACCAATAGAGAAGGAAAAAATTAGCTGAGATGTAATTAACTGTGCATAGTGCTCTGTCCATGCACTGGGGTTCATTATCTCCTTCAGCAACGAGCTTCTTTCTTCCGCCGTAGATAAGGACTCCTCGCAGTCGTGGCTGTCGTCCAAAAGCGCTTCAGAAATCGACGAGCGAAGGCTGAACCTCGTTCAGGAGCAGATGCTGTGTGGCAAATCCACGCACATACACGGGAAAGGCTTTGCCAAAGCCTGGTGTCGTTTTAACGTATGATCAAAGCATTATAAGTGTTGACAACATGCGTCACGTGTAGGCCTAGGTAAACTTAACGGTGTTCCAGGTGGGTAGCGAAATCGATTTTTTGACACAGATCACGTTAGTATTAACGTAATGTGTGATTCTGTAGTCTAGGCTTAAATTAGGTTTTTTTTTTTTTTTAAAGAAAAAGAAATGTGACGTACTGTGTGTATACGTGTCCACACTACGTGTGCATCAGTGTAATTGTAGTTATTTTTATTTTTTTACATTTAAATTATTATGCAGACTATCACCTGGTTTTAAGCCACAACTATGTTACAGTTGCCAGACTCAGTTTTGGCAGCGATGTGTCTATTTCGGGCGTGGGAACTGGGCTGCATGTGTCCTTTGCCGGTTCTGTGTACTGTGGAGGTGAAGCACTGAAGCTTGAGACCAGATGGTTCCAGTTCCAGTATCTGGAGAAGCCCTGCTTATGAACCTGGACCAACGTGCTCATCCTGAGTAACATTAATAAACATAGTATGCCAAAAAACTAACTAAAAGCATAATCTAGACAGAAAACTGTGAGAGCTTTCTGGATAAAAATCATCCACAGAGAAACTATATAATCATAAGTATTATAATTATCAACTGTTATTAATGATAGTAATAATTACTATTATACATTCTGTTCAGTGAGTCCCCTGCTTTGCCATGTGCTTCCTAGGATAGGGTCCCAGCTCAACCGTGAAGCAGATTAGGAAAATAGAATAATAATAACAATAATAATAGTAGTCATCATCATAATCACATGGCTGTTTCATTTCATTATAACCTTTGCCTCAGTATGAGACTTTAGACTTATAGGTCTCCAGATGATGTCCCTAAAACATGCTAAGCTGCTCACCAATAATAATTAGACAAAGAACATGCTGAGAATTAAAAAGGATTTGTCACTGCTTTATTTTTTGAAAACTCAACAATATGCTGCTACCAAGCAACATGATGTTAAAGTGCATTGCTCAGTGTTTTGTTTTCACTGGACATGCAGCATCTACAGTCTGTTACAGGCCTATCTTCTCGGGTCCCTAAAATGTTTTATGTTGCTGACTTGTAGTACAGCCACTTTCTAGCAAACAGAAACTCATTTCAAGGTGTTCAAGTGCTTTCATGTTGAAGGTCCTCACAGTAACATAACAAATAGTCCAGGGGAACCAGCCATTCCATTTCCTTATTCACCTTTCCATATGAGCGTGTGCGCGTATGCGTGCGTGTGTGCATGTAGGTCATTTATGTGTGTCTGGTGGATATTAATGTAGTGGGCATTGTGTTCACACCAAGCAAGGTAGTCAGTCAAACATTTTTTTCTGGAGAAAATTAAAAGAGAAACCCACTACAGTGGATACCGCTTATAGTGATCATGTCTGTCCAGGTGAAACTGATCACTATATGCAGATGATCATTATAACCAATTTTTTTTGTCCCATCTTCTTTATGTCTCAGGCAGATGACCATCTAATTGACGTGTGTGTGTGTATATATATATATATATAATATATATATATATATTACATGAACATAAGATAATAAAATGGACAGCATTGCTATTTACTTAATTTCATTAACCATTTCAAAATACAGTACAGCTGTTTCAAATGCTTCAAATTGCAGAACTGTACAGACTAAATTACTGAACTGTGTATAATTCAAATATGCTATAATACAGTACAGTACTGTAGGCCTATATAAATATTCAATTCAATTTTATTTGCACAGCACATTTTCACAACATTATTGTTGTTGCTTATTGTTGTTTCGCTGCTGCATCTCGGTGGCTAGTTTTTGGCAGTTTATCATAAGCTTTGATGAGTCTATATTTGTCATTGAGAGAAAATTACTTTCTTTTTCCCGTCGTGTTTTCTGTGCATGCAGCATTAGCCTCAGGTAGCTAGCCAGAAGCAGACGGCTTACCACAAGGCAAAACAGGGCGATCAAAGTAAAGTAAAAAATAAATAAGAATTACCGCAGTTTTATTTTTTTCCTTATATTGCCATGTTTAAATAGACCCAAAATTAACTGTGAGAGGATTACTGGATTTGTTATAAGCAAATTATTTAAACAGTATTTGTACTAGAATGATTCTGCCCCAAGTTTTTGATCCATATAAATGGTTGATCACTATAACCATGATCACTATAAGTGGTTTCCACTGTATTTTGATGTTATGTGAAACAAAAGAATATTCCCTGACCCTTCAAAATCGTACAAGCGGCAAATATAATTGTAAATATTTTGTAAAAATGCTTAAATGGGCCTAATGAATGACAACTTCTTCCCGTGGAGTGAAAAGTGCGCTGACTCATCTGACAATACCAGGAGTAATATGTAGGCCTAAAATTGTGGGGGTTTAATTCAACAAAGGAAATAAACAGCGCAATAGCAAAAAAAAAAAAAAAANAAAAAAAAAAAAAAAAGAAGAAGAAGAAGAAGAAGAAATGGCAATTGGAAAAGCAAATATCAAATGAGTACGCTATTCTCTTTGATGTGACTATATTCAGTGAAAAACAGAAGTGTGTTTAACTAAAAATGCACATTACTCCAGACAATATTTGCATCGAGTATACGGAAATACACATTCGTATTTGTCTTTTATTAGCGTCAGTTTCTAGAACGAATAAACGATTTATCGCAGAAACCTGACGTGTATTTGAAATGCGTGAGCTTTAAAGAAAGGGGAGATTACATAAAACAGAAACCTTCTCACATGTTTGCCTATGTGACGGCAAAAAAGACAAAAAATTAGAAAGAGGCAGTGAGAAGAAAGGTGGGTTGTATATAAAGGTACGAATTACATGCACTCACGTAAAACCTGGACTGGCATCAGGATTTCGCTAAACGGCCATAACGTGCCCACGCCTAATTAACGTGATAACAACTCAAGGAGGCACTGAATGGATTTGATATATTGCTGATGCACCATTGTATCATTTTAACGGGCGAGCCCAAAAATCAATGTGTATCACTTCAATGGGCAAGTTAAAATACTTTTGTTTCCTGACAACATTAGATGTCTTGTTTCTATCGCTTATTTTGTCATCTCGTCTTTTTTGTGGGTGGATGTTGTACGATAGGTTTGTACATCATCCTTCCGCCACGCCAAGGGATATCGACCAAACAGGAGAGGCCACCTGGGGAGACTTCATCGATCTCCGGTCTGATAAGTCTTTGCAAGCCTGCCTCTCATGTCATTTCAGCACCCTGGCCTGCCATTGTTATACTGAGTATTTTACCACTATTGCCAGACTGATCATATGCACTTTACGTTCATCGTAAATTAATAATTCAAAAATAATAATAATAATAATAAAGGCAGCTGCTGCTGATTCATGCTAATAAGATGAAATTTCGCAATGCCTTCACGACCATTCATGCAAAGGAATAGGCCTATATAGGCCTATTTTATGTAACTTCATAATTACACACACACGTAGGTATATAGGCCTTCGTTTTAATATACATTCATAAGATGCATGCATACCTGACAAATTGCGCTTTGTGATAACTATTGAAGGAAATAGGCTTATTTGACGGAAATATCCGTTGTGCAAAATGAAGCAGTGCAGTATTTTATTTGCACAAAATATTTTAGTTACTGCATATATTTCTTATATGAACTTACCAATTAATTAAGCAGCCCATATCAAACATAATGCAATAGGCATAAGCATAGGGATGTGGAAACGAACGAAGTTGTTTACTTGCTACCCAATGAATTACACGATATGACCAGCAGGCGTCAGCATTGATCTTTCAGTCGAACAGCTTTGCCCGTAATCCTTAATAAGGATCTTTCAAACAATAACAATTATTTCCAGCTAACTGCATTATACTTGCCATTAAACTATTTTTGTATTAATTGCAGTCGTTTGTAGAGAAGGTTTAAATATTTAGTTTATTTATGAATGGCTTCTGTCCGGATTTCTTGTAAAAGGAAAAATCCTCAACCCGTAAACAAATTTCGTTTCATAACACATAAGTATTAAAAGATTCACTAGTCTGTATTCTCTTTTTTTATCATCGGCATCTCGCCGAAGTACTCCTTTGAAATCAAATTTAGTCTTTAGATTTCATGATATCTGAATTTACCAGGTATATTACAGATAATGTTGGTAGTGATGGTCGAGATTGTAGAATTGGTATGTGCTCTGAATCTAGGCCACATGCCATATAGCAACAATACAGCCTGGAATATAAAACCCAAAAGTCTTATTTATCCCTCTTCTAACAAAAGATATCCAATTTTTTTTCTTTAATTGTTGACACGCTGCATAGAAGTACATCCGTCCCCCATTGCAATTCAAAGCAGTAACCTACTGTGAATAATTAGCAACAGGTTGCATTCTGGACATTCATATTTCCACCTCCTGGGTAACTGAGACCTTTTAAAAACGGATGTGTCCCGCAAGTAGCTAAGGAAAGGCTGAGAGTGAGGCGGCAATCACATTGCTTTGACTATGTGACCTGCGGTGCCAGCACAAGTGCACAACAGCAGCAATTACCGAGCGCACCAGCGGCCGGCCCTCCTCCAGGAGCTCAGCGCCACGTTCATTGTGCTCGCCGCCTCCTAATGCTCCAAGCTGTACCAGTGCAAGCCCCCCCTGAAGTCTCTCCCTGGACCTGCAGCCGGCTTTCGTGATTACGCACCACTAGCGCTTGGTGAAAAGACACGTGATAATTTTGTGTGGTTCTGTAATCCGTAACGTCAGAAATCACAATTTGATCGGCTCCGATGAGCTCTACCCTGCTAGGTAAAGTAACACCTAGGCCTATTTCGTGGCACAAACAAGGCTTTATTAGCTGGTGCACCTACACTGAAATGTAGCTGCTCGAAGCACCTTGTTTGGAAATATGTTTCCCACTGCTTTTATTTTACGATAACCGGAATCAAGTAATTGAACACACTTTAGTCCTTCATACTTATAAATGAGATAGGCTAACATACAGCATATTTAATATAGGGCAAAATTAATCAAATGTTTAATTTCAACTAAATTTTTTCTTTTAGTGACCCGAAGCTTCTTCTGTGTATATGGCTTACAGCGGACATCCACGTGTGCGTATTA